GGTCGCTGCGTTCAGGTTCTTGTACTTTGAGTGTTCATTTTTTTTTAAATCTGGCAGCTTTTGTTACTTTTCAACCTGAGAGTTTAACAGAGATGCATCACATGTTTGTTGGTGTTTTTCAGAGCGCGGGGGGGGGGGGTGTCCTGCATGTCCGTGTGAAACGTCATTTGTGTCTCAGTGTTTTGCATGGCTGAACAAAAAGTTATATGCAAGAGCATTTACAGAAACTGAATGTGAAGTTTACTCTCTCCATCCTCACGTCTGTCTCCTGATCTGCACCTCCTGCTGCTGTCGAGCGTTTACTGCCATAAGGTCAGGACCGACTGGACCGACTGTGTAGCATTTGTCTGATAAAATATATTTCTACACACAAACACGTGGCTCTCTGTTTCATACGGTCAAAGAAAAAAACTTTTCAAATGTGTTTTCAGCGCTGAATCGGACTGTAAGGAAGTAAAGTAAGTTCTGTCCCGTGTTTCAAGCTTCTTCAAATAATAATAGAATGTCACTTTTTAATTCATTTTCATAAAATAACTGAAACTCTGATTAAGCCTATAAGGAGCAAATATGGAAGAGGATCAGACATCAGACATTTATAACCAGAAGCGGACTGTTGTTGTTTTTTTTACATTATGCACTTTTAGAATAAAGTCTTTGAGAATAATTTCTGTCAAGAATAAAATCCAAGGGGTGCTGGTAGCCTAGTGGTTATGTTGCTGCCCCATGTACAGTACAGAGGGTTAGGGTTAGTGGGTTCAAATCTGACCTTTGCCCTTTGCTGTCATCCACCAACATTTCCTGTCTCTCTCCAAATGTCCTGTCCAAAAATGTCCCACATTTCTTTTTTAAAAAGAATAAAAATCAACACGAGAAAAAAAGTTAAAACATCCAGGATAAAGTTAAAATACAATTTCAAAATAAAAGTCGAAAGTAGAGAATAAAGTTAAAAAATATTTTCAAATTAGAAATGCAGAAAAAAAAATTAAACGTTGAGAATAAAGTTAAAATATAAAATTGAGAATAAATTCTGAATGTAAGAAATAAAGTTGAAATAAAGTTTTGACTTTCACTTTTTAAATTATACTTCAGGTCTATTCTTGACATTTTGGCTTTTCCCACCATTTCTACTTTATTCTCAGAGTGCATTATGGGAAAAAACCTGACCCCTCTTTTAATGTAGAAAGAAGGTGATCAGTGTGATGAGAATATTAGAACCATCAGAAGGTTCATTATAATAATAATAATTAGTAATCTAAAAAAACGTTTGTAACATTTACGAACTAAAACATTCATATAATTGACTAAATATAACAACACCAGATGGATATTTATAACTTTAATAACTTTTAATCCATGAAAAAAAAAAACATTTTATTTTATAGTCACAGCTCCCATAATGCTTTGGGGGATATAAACAGGAAGTATGGTTAGCTGCAACTGTAACCGTTCGTTATTTTGCCGCCTAAATTTGTTCACATTTGGTCGAATTAGCGCCATCAAAGGTGAGCCGAATTATTGCTTACCTGCGCATGTTTACCTGGTTTACATTGATTTATCGTTAAGTATCATTCTTTAAACACGACACTGAAGGAAAGTTAAAAACGTGATTATTCTCAGGCAGCTTCAGGTGTTTACGTTCTGATGATTTCGAAGAGGACGTTTGGATCAACGAGCTGCTCGGACAGAACGAGTCACACTGAAGCTATAAACATGTTTTAATGTTAATTTAACTGAGCTTTGAACCAGACACCTCACACTTTAAAACACAGACTGTATAAAGAATGGACAGCAGAACACTCCACCTCAAGTGAAGCCAAAACATGTTAAGCTCCCCCTACAGACTGACTGCAGTATTGCAGTATAGTTCAGAAGCTCCGCCTCCTCCATGTTAACAGATGGGACCTGGTTTTGCTGGAGTCGTTATTATCATGCAATGTTGTGTTAAAGTCATCTTTTTATCTACCAAGGTTCTTTTTAATTATTTAATTGATGCTATAAAACATCATGATTGACAGCTGTGATGACGAATCAGGCTGTTGTTTTGTTGTGTGCAGCATATATCAGAGTAGAAGAAGAACGGGGAGAGGAAACGTAACAAACATGAACATTAAGGTCGTTGAACTTTCCGTAATTGTGAGTGTCTGCTTTAAACAGACACAAGAATCTCTTCTGCTGTGGACTGAACCCACCTGGGTGACCTTTGACCTTTTAGCAGGAAGTAAAAGGTTTGTTTTTGTTCCAGCTGACCCCTCCTGCACAGACTCCACCCATCATGGAGATATTTTGACTTCATCCTGTTGAGCAGGAGGAGGCTGAGGCATGCTGTCCATTTGTATAAACAGCCCCTGGTTTGAAAGCATCTTCCTCGGGGCGCCGGATGGCCTAGCGGTTATATTGAGCGCACCATGTACAGAGGCTGTAGTCCACGTGGCAGCGGCTGTGGTTTGAATCTGACCGGATGAGTTGCCCTGTTCAGTGTGTGATGCTCTCTCTGCTCTGTCTGCATGTTGTAGTGCAACATTTTGACCAGCAGGGGGACTCATTTCATCTCCAGACGAGCTCTCAGCCTGAGCAGTCAGAAATCTGAAGGAGGTTTTTTTTAGTTTTCATGTTTTATTTTTGTAAATATGCAGACACACAGCAGGTAGCTTAGCTTAGCATAAAGACTGGAACAAGGATGTCACTCTCCTCAGCTCCTCCTGGGGGATTCCAGGCGACCCCTTTTGAATTCCATGGAACCCCACATAGGGTCGGGACCCCCAGGCCTGTGCTGGGCCATGAACACCCCCATGTCTTCTTTTCTTTAAGGTCATCATTTAAGAAGTAAAACGGACGTCTGCGTCTTCTGACCTCCTATATTAACAGGTTTCACTCTCAGTTTTCAGACTTTTCTTTAAGGGGGATGGTGATCTTGTGTTATCTCTGCAGGATGTGTCTGATGATGTTTTCATCGCCCTCTCCCCTCAGTGAGTTTCTTCTGATTTATGTTTCTCTGCTGAGCTCAGCGGGATCGTTTGTTTGGACTCTCCCTTTTTCATCAGCTGTGTCACCAGCGCTCAGAGCGACTCTGACATCTTCACCTTAGACACAGAACTCAAAACACATCACAGCAAGGACACAAAGTTACACTCCCTGCACTTCTGCAGAGATGACATATGAGTATTTATCAACACTTTTATGCTTCATTTGATTAATTCAAGTTTCAGACTCTGAATCATGCTGCAGACGGTCGGAGGAAGATTTTGAGGTTCAGCTTAGAAACATCAAAATATAAAAACTGTTTTTTGTAACAACAGGTTCCTGTAACACAAATAAAAGATTCACTTTTACATTTTAAATGATGATAACGCTCGTTTCATTCTCGAGAGACAAGCTTCACCTGTTTGAGAGTCTCCAACAAGACAGAAACTTTACAAAACATTTTATCTTTAACCTTTAAAGAAGCTTAGCTGCTAATGTTAGCATTGTGTTAGCACTGTGGATGTCACAGAGGTGTGGCAAGGGGGGGCTCAGGAGAATGTCAAATAATGACGCAGAAGGGGCAGACGAATCAGTCCGACGCTATCATGTGAATTTTTGCCTTCATGTGTAGTTAGACGTATTTCACAATATCAACAACAGCAGAGAAGAACAAACGGGCGACCAGGAAACCTTATGAAGCAGTTTCATTACGATCGCAGCGTGGCAGCAGGATCTAAACGTCAACAACCCTCCTGCTCGCTCACTGAATGTTTTCCTGAATATTACCTGCTGCAACAAAATCACTTCAAGATAAACTTAATATTATTACAACACTTTTCAAAAGTGTGTGGACCTGTTGGCTCCTGCAGACTGGGACCTCCTGCAGGCTTCGGGTTCGGTTTGCAGCCGGGAGAGAAGAGGTCAGGGTGAGGGGTCAGCGGCTCCAGGTCTGAGGACATGGTCCTCTGTGGATTCCTCCTTCAGGGGGGAGTGAGTCTTTTTTCTGAAGTGTTCAAGTATCTCAGGTTTTGTAAAACAGAGTGTGAGACTGACAGAAATGCAGGTCAGACTGTGGGGCCGAGCCCGAAGGCAAAGCTCTCGATTCACCATCGATCTTCAGGCTCGAACCCTCACCTTTGGTCATGAGCTACCTACCTGAGTCTCCTCTGCAGGGTGTCTGAGCTCAGCCTTAGAGTTAGGGAGAGGAGCTCAGACATACGGGGGAGCTCAGAGGAAAGAAGGTTGAGAACAACTGATTTAGAAGACGAGCATTTATGAGCGCCACCAATAGGGTCATTGTTGGGATAAAGACCGGTGCTCTGTGTGAGGAGGAGAGAAAAAAACAGTATTTGTGAATAATGGAAACTCAGGAAAAGTAAAACTCCTTAAAGTCTTTATATGTGATGTTTTGATCCAGCAGATGTCGCCCTTGAGCTCCAGCATGAAACCAAAACAACTCACGCTGCATTGTTGTGTTAGCATGCTAATGCTAGTGATCTTTATTATGCTGGTATCTTCACACTGCATGTAAATTTACCTGAAATGAGCGTGATCTAGAAACACAGTTAAGCAGTGAGTACAGTATGTTATTCTTCTTTTCTCTAGTCCCTCAATTAAACAACTTTTATACACGAGGGGAGGAGTCAGCCGGCCGTCCCGGCGATGTAAACAAACTGAAGATAGGACTCTGAAAACTCTGAAAACATCACAGACAGTGGGACTCGGGTGTTACACCCATTGTAGACAGTCATGACTCACAGAGTTATTTTCAGAGGAGATACTGGATTTATATTTAAGTGTGAAAAATCACATTTAAAGACTTTAAACAGTGGTATTCAGTAAACTCCAGGATGTGAGTTTGTTGACATCACTGTAACTCTTACACATGTTTTTTATATGTGTGTGTGTGTGTCTGTGTGTGTGTGTGTGTGTGTGTGTGTGTGAGCAGGCCGGCCGGTCTGTGCGCACATGCTCAGTGAGGTTATTTTTGCGCACAGAGGCTTTAAGAGCGGAGCGGCAGGAGGAGGACGGAGCAGAGAGGAGCGCAGAGAGAGAGAGAGAGAGAGAGAGAGAGAGAGAGAGAGAGAGAGAGAGCTGAACCCATCAGCTGAGCGTCTCGCCACAGATGAGCCACCACGGCCACGGCCGCAGACCCGGCTCAGTGCTGGGCTCTCGGAGCTAGGGGCGCCGCTCCGCGCTTCTCCTCCGTACACTCTTTTTATTTGATTTGTTTTAAAGTCATCATTTTTGTTTCCATCATGGTGCTGGGGAAAGTGCGGGCCTTGGCGGTCTACTTTGACAGTCTGAATGAGAACAACCTGCCGGCGTTCTCCGGAGGGAACCTGGTGTCCGGGAGGGTGGTGGTAGATGTGACCGGGGATGTGCGCGTAAAGAGCCTGGACGTCACCGCGAGAGGAGTCGCCAAGGTGCGCTGGACCGAGTCGAGGAACGCCGGAGCGAACACGGCTTACACTCAGAACTACACGGAGGAGGTGGAGTACCTGCACCACTACGACACGCTGATAGGAGAGGAGAGAGGTAAGGAGTGAGGGCATCTTCATGGCACCAGGGAGTGGGGGCTCAGCTGTGCCACGCAAACTTCTGAAACCAGCTCATTACCGTAAAATCAAACTTTATTTAGACTGGAAAGGTTGCATTCATGCGCCATAACGACGCGCAGAGCCCCCCCAAAAGGTCCCCACAGTGACAGTGGTGCTGATGCAACAGCTGATCGTTGATGCGATACCCCCGCACCGACACTCCCCGCACTTTATGTCTACAATTCTTCATTAATCATAACACGCACAAACCCCCCCCCCCCCCGCAGGGATCGATCACCACACCAGAAGAAGGTTTCTCATTCTGCATCATCAGCTTGTTGCAGCACTCAAGAGGAAAAAGTTCCCACGTAGGAGAGAGAGAGAGTCCGCGGGAAAAAAGGAGGAAATCGGTCCAAAAATGCAAACCGAATCGGTAGTTTTGTGTTTTTCACATAAACTGATGAGGAATAAACGTTTTTACTGATGACATCCTGAAGTGAGCGAGCACAGCCAACTCCCTTTGTTTGTTAGAAGCGGTTCAAACCTGTTCAGAAACTGCTAGAGAGGGAGGGGAGGAGGGGAGGAGGGGAGGGAGGGGGGGAGGACCCGCTGACTCCGGGTGCGCGTTAGTGTGTGTAAGTGTGTGTGTGTGTGTGTGTGTGTGTGTGTGTGTGTATGTATGTCTGTGTAATGTGTGTGTGTGTGTGTGTGTGTATAGGATCTCAGCTGCTCGTCACCACTTCCTCCACCTGTGTTGATTTCTGTTTCTGATGCAAATATGTTAAAGGACAGTTTCATGCAAAGCGTGTGTGTGTGTGTGTGTGTGTGTGTGTGTGTGTGTGTGTGTGTGTGTGTGTGTGTTGGACTCCCACACAAACAGATGATTGTGACATGTTAAAGGCTGAGCGTCACGTTCAGACGCCGTCAGGTGAAGATATCAGAGCTTTTCTAAACATCCTGTCTGACTGTTTCTGTGCCAGACGGCGGCCATGGAGGGGGGGGGGGGGGATTTATATTATTGTCTTTTATATTTAATATTTTAATCATTTTGAATGTACAAAGAGAGCAGTGAAGTGAAGTTCCTTTAACGTGATATAGAAATGGACGGCGTGCCTCACACTCCTCCCACTGAGCAGGGTGAAGACAAAATATCTCCGTGACCGGCGCTGGCATGCGGAGAATTTTGCAAACCAGAGCCCGCGTGACGCTGCTTCTGCTGACGATAAAAGGTCAAAGGTCGCTCAGGTGGGTTCAGGGCCGCAGCTGAACAGAACCTCGTGTTGGTTTTGGACGAGGTTAAACCAGAACTTCCCCTTTAGGGAGCCTCCTCTTAACTTCAAAATAAAATATGAGCGTCCTGATTTAAGAAACTGGGAACAAATGATGCATCTCTAAATATTGATTATTGTTCATGTTGTCTGGGTAACGGTCGCCTTGAGGTCGGGATGAGCCCGATGTGAGAACAGGAAATATTCTGGAGGACTCAGTCAGTGCATTTACATGTATTTAAAAAGTCCAAACAGTGTCTGATACCATCAGAAATTTGAATATGTAGCGCCATGTAACCCTGCTGACTGTGAGCGAGCAGGACGGGGTGACAGGAGCGCGACCGTTACTGTGATCTTCTGTCACCTGATGAAATTATGTTTCCTGTGTACGTTCTTCTCCGATCTCGCCTCTGACGTCGAACTCTGCTGCTCCAATTTTCTTTTCTTTGTACGCCATGTCCCGCCTCCTGAGAGGACGCCACCCGCTGTGAGAAAAAGCGACTTTTCAGGAGTTTTCAGGAGTGAAAACGGTTTCTGGAGCTCTCAGACGTCTCCTCAGCAGACGGAGCAGCGGAGCAGTGTGTTCATGAAATGATGCAGGAAAGAAATCTTCAAGTCCACCGGAGCTGCTGCGAGGAACGGAGCGACAGATCAGCTGATCATCCCCACACACAACCATCACACACTCTGTGTTTCTGTTGCAGAACTGCAGCGACATAGAAGAGCATTAAGAACACTGCTGAGATGATTTTTTACACTCTGAAACATTCTGCTCACTTTTTAAACTTCATGTCAGTTAGAAAAACTAAAGTTACGAAAGTTATCTGTTAAAATACAAACATCCAGAAAGTCCAGTTCACATCCAGCTTGTCGTATTCAGTCATCATTTTCACTTTTTCGATCTGTGAAATGTTAGAAAAGAGTTTTATTTTCCTGAAGAAACAGATCAAAACACAGATTCAGTAAAACGTTAGGTTCAAATCTTCTCGCTTTACAAGCTCGATCTGACGAGTTGTGGCAGCAATGACCTCAGATGACCTCAGATGACCTCAGACATATGAGCCAACTTTCACTGAAGCTGCAGACATTTCAACTTTGCAAAAACTTTAGATGTGCAAAGACAAAGTGCCAGCTCCTCCTGCTGCGTAACAAACCCTGTGAGGTGGAGAAAAGCTGCAGAACAAGTGTTTCTGTGTTTGATGACTTTGTGTTTCTCTAAGAGTCACAACATCCCAGAAACTTTCTGTCCGACTTTGTTCAAAGAGAGAAACGGGATCTGAATGTCTGAATGTGTGTATGTGTGAATGTGTGTCTGTGTGTGTAATAGATCTTCTCTCCCGTCATCATCGACCTCCGTCGTCTGTTTGCGTGAGACGTTCAGGTCCACCTGGAGTTCACAGTCAGAGTAGGACACCCTCCTCCTCCCCCCTCTTTCTTCCTGCTCTCCCTCTCACGCAACACACCACATGGCCGGGCTCATGTGGGCAGGGGCTTGTCGGCTCTGCACCAATCGGAGCGCTGGCTGTAATCCATGTCAGGCGCTCGGCCAATGGGAGGCTGAGTTGTAATGCAATGCGTTGGAGTTTCCAGCTGAAGGAAGCTGCTGCTCAGTCTGGTTCATACCGGTCTGCTCCTGCTCAGGCTGTGCCGGTGACTTGACTTAGGCACACACACACACACACAGACACACACAGACACACACACACACACACACACACACACACACACACACACACACACACACACGCAGGCTGTCGATGACATCTCAGACATACTAACACAGACATGAGGGTGAAGCAGAGCGGCTGCTGAGCTGGCAGGAAGCTGAAGTTCACTTTAGACATTTAGAGGATTAAAAAACAAACAAACAGAAAAGAAAATGAGGAAGTGACGGCGCTCATGTTCTTTCTGTTGAAGGGTGTGTTTCTGCAGCAGCTTCTGTCACTCTGTTTGCAGCTGTGAGGCAAAAGAAAAGGTCGATGTGCTGACTTTAAAAGCTGTAAGAGAGCTGGTTTCACACGTCTGTTCTTGTATAAAACACTGAAGCATCTATGGAGAAACATATGGAAGCTCATTCCTGCCCATTAAGATAAAACATAAAGTCATGATAACAACTTCAACATCTCTGTGACTTCTCAAAGAAAAGAGAAACAGAAGTTGTCGTGTAATGTTTTTGATATATTAACAGACGTTTGATGCAGACTGTAGGCGGATTTAAAAGCATCCTTTTTTTCTGTGTTTCAGACGAGGACTGTCCAGAAGAAGGTCTGACCGTCCTGCACCCCGGTCTGCACGAGTTCGCCTTCAGCTTCAACCTGCCGCAGATGTGAGTGTTTGTCCTTCATCTCAGAGGGCGATGTCGTTTGTGTTTCTGACTGATGACGTTATTTTTGTTTTTGTTTAAAAACTTAACATTGAAACGAATCATTTTCTGAAATCATGACGTGATGTTTACATGAACACTCGAGGTTAGGAGCACGCTGCTGAAACCGAACACGCAGTGTGTAGATTCCTCCACCAGGGGGCTCTCAATCAAAACAATAACAAAAAGATGACGTTGAAGCTGGCGGGGAATCATGGGAGTGATTCTCCTGCTACTCCACCCCCTGATGCAAACGAACTCCGTGTTGACCGTAGTCATGACGACCGGGTGAACCCGACCTGAGGAAGAGAATATCACAGTGACAGGACGGCAGCTTTCAGAAGCAGCTCACGCTTCCTCATGCAGTGAGCTTTGACGTAACATCCGGCGTTTCCACGGCAACGTTAAACATGTTGTGTCTGTCATAGCGGCGGCGCTGTAACAACACACGACCTTCACAATACAAGCAGATAAGATGTGATAACTTTGTCGACGGGGGGGAGAGGGGGAGGGGGCTAACTGAAAGTTCCTCAGAGGAGCTTTAAGGACACGATGAGGACTCCTCTCGTCCCGGCAGACGCACTTTATTTTATTTCACACGAGATTATAGAGAATCCGATACACTCAGAGAGAACATAAACGTTGTTTGTTTATGTGTGTGGTCGTTGTACAAACCTGTAGAAGACGTTTTAGAGGACACTAAAGACCACCGCAGCAGCCTCAGTATCAGAGTTTATGTTTTCAAAATGGAGAAATGGAGAAATGGAAAGCTTCCTGTGTTCTTTTGTAAATAATTTAAATTTCATTAATGTCATGTTACTTGAATATGAAAAAAATCTTTGGAAGAGTTAAATTGTTAAAATGTACTGCGAGCATCGTACCCCCCCTCTTACTGCAAAGAAAGTGCTCCAATGTTTGAAGGTTTGAGGGAGGAGTGATGTGTAGTTACTAATGTGTGAAGAATGCTTTTCATAAATAAAAAATAAAAAAACTACCCTTACATTTTTTATTTTTTAAATGTAGAAATGTAGTCAAACAAGAGACTCAAACAAGAGTCTCAAACAAGAGACTCAAACAAGAGACTCAAACAAGAGACTCAAACAAGAGACTCCAACAGTGTTCAGAGCAGGACCCCCCCCCCTTCCTCACACTCCTCCTCTTCCTCTCGTCTGTCAGGGCTCTGGCCACGTCCTTCGAGGGGAAGCACGGCAGCGTGAGGTACTGGGTGAAGGCTGAACTGCACCGTCCGTGGCTGCTCCCGGTCAGAGTGAAGAAAGAGTTCATTGTGTTCGAGCACATCGACATCAACACGCCGCTGCTGCTGGTACACACTCTGCACACGGCACTGCCCACACTCTGCCTCCTTCTCTGCTTTTCCACCAAGCTCATGTTCTGTATGGTACATATGAAGCTGCAGTTAGCTTAGCTTAGCATCAGGGGGTGCAGGTCCGGACTTATCTTCTTAGACCTGCTACACACCCGGGCCCGACTCCCCCCCCCTCCTGAGGCTTTTCAAAACTGATTACCTGTCCAAATAATACGTGTTTGGTGTCAATAAGAGTTTTTTTTCCTTCTGACCAAATACCCACAATAGCCAATGAGAGCGAGCAGACCGGGGAGCGTCCCAAACCGGATGTCGCGTACTTTAACTCCGCTCTAGCTCGCGCTGCAAAGTGTTTAAGCCGTACCTTAACTGTCGTCTCAGCCAGGATTTACCATATATTCCTTTTTCTGTTTTTATTTTTTTTGCTGTAAAGCAGAACGCACGTCAGGACCCGGGATGTGTTGCTATGCTACGAGGTTTCCCGTCTGCTTGCTCTCTAAACGAGTCTCCTCATATCCCCCCCGCTTAGAAGTGGATTTCATGTTCTCGTCTCGCCCATTAAGAAAAGCACTCGACTTTTTCTGATTCCTAGAATGTGTCTTTTTCTTTAATCCTGCTCGAGTGGACTTGTCGGTTTATAACATTTCATTTTTTTTTATTTGTTCTGTACAAGTCAAAACACACAACAGAAAAAAAAAGAAGAAAACAATTCACACTTCATCCCATGTTCGGAAAGGAGCGTCTGCCCCCCCTTACTCAAAAAACATACAATAAATATCTGGATGGTCTGTCCAAATACAATCACTGAATGAATATTAACATAAAACAAATCTGACAATTCAGTCTTCACTTCCTCAGAAATCATAGAATAGAATAGAATAGAATGACTTTATTGATCCCAAACTGGGAAATTGTGTCCTTACAGCAGCAGGTTATCCAAACACAATATGAGCAAAAAAAACACAATATAATATTAAATACAAATTAAATAAGCACTTAAAATATCAAAACTAAAAATGTGAATATATACAACCAGGATTTAACTAAACATTACTCGTCTTAAATATGAAAGATTAAATGTAAATGTGTAAAAACAGAGTTGTAAATGGACAGTATTGACATAGGGAGCTGTGCAATCAGTGATACGAAATAAGAAGGAAAACACACAAAACACACTAACTGCCAATTTCACACAGTCTGATAACTTTGATCTTATGAACACAACCCTTCTAATCATTATTTAAAGAATTCCACAATTTAATTCCAATGACAGAAATACATTTCTGTTTTAAAGTTGCAAACTGATGCTTAAAATTACATTTTCTTCTGTGTGTGTGTGTGTGTGTGTGTGTGTGTGTGTGTGTGTGTGTGTGTGTGTGTGTGTGTGTGTGTGTGTGTGTGTGTGTCAGGCTCCTCAGGCCGGTACCAAGGAGAAAACATTGTGCTGCTGGTTCTGTGCTTCCGGCCCGATCTCCCTCAGCGCCAAGATCGAAAGAAAGGGCTACACACCAGGTGAGCCCCCCCCTCCTCCTCCCTCCTCCCTTCCCCCCTCCTCCCTCCACCTCCTCCATCTCTTCTTCTTCTCCTCCTTCCTCCTGGTCTTCACCTTCTCACTTACATCATTTCTCCCTCAGTCTGTCAGGCTGATCTCTTTTCCTTCTCTCTCAGGCGAGTCCATCCAGATCTTTGCCGAGGTGGAGAACTGTTCCTCCAGGGTGGTGGTGCCCAAAGCCGCTCTGTACCAGACTCAGACCTTCTTCGCTAAGGGGAAGGGCAAGCAGATCCAGCAGCTGGTGTCCAACCTGAGAGGAGACCCCCTGCTGCAGGGGAAGAGCCAGAGCTGGGAGGGCAAGCTGCTCAAGATCCCCCCGGTGTCGCCCTCCATCCTGGACTGTCCCATCATCAGGGTGGAGTACGCCCTCGTGGTGAGTTCACTTTAATGAGTTTCACTTTATCTTTCAAAGTTAGACGACATGACAGGAGGGTTTCCTGCTAATAACCAAACTAACAGCTGAAGTACTTCCTGTTCATAAACGTCATAAACCATCATGAGCACTTTAGCAAAGCAGAAAAAGGGCAACCAACGATCTCGAGGAGCCTAAGAGAGCTCAAGAGCTCCCAGGAAAGTAGGTGGTTAGTGACTGAGATTTACAGATAGATAGAGAGAGAGAGAGGGAGGGAGGGAGGGAGGGAGGGAGAGAGAGAGAGAGAGAAGCTCAAGGTACCAGTTCCCCCGGTAGTCTAAGCCTATAGCAGCATAACTATAAGATTTATCAAAAAGGAAAGTTTTAAATCTGTTTATGTTCAACTGAAAACACTCCAAAAAAGTAAGAAGATCCCCGCTAACAAGAGGCCAGATGAGATGACCTACTGACCTAGATTAATGTGGAAGAATCATCTATTCTTCTAAAACATGGAAAATGATTGAAATCACATTTTGAAGGAGGATCATAACCTCAGAGAGGCTTCAGGAAGAGTTTTGTTTTGACCATAAATCAGGAAGTTGTAGTTTCAGGACAAAGTGTTCTACTTTTCAGAGCGTCAGGTAGTTCCAGACGTGTTTGTGAAAAGACTCAACAGGCAGAACTGGCTCTAAGAGGGACACCATGTCTGACACTCCCTCTGTGCCTGCAGGTGTATGTGGACGTTCCCGGAGGGTTGAACTTGTCTCTGTCGTTGCCGTTGGTGATCGGGACCATCCCCCTGCACGCCGTCTCCTCCCGCACCTCCAGCATCAGCAGCAACTGCAGCACGCTGAGCTGGCTGGGCCTGCAGGAGCGGCCTGAGGGTACAGACTGCAGAACACCAGCATGCATGTTTCTCTGTTTTCTTATTGTCAGACAACACGCGCAGATCTCTTACTCGTGTGTGTTGTTTTTTGTTTCTCTCTGCAGCGCCGCCGAGTTACGGCGATCTGGCGATATCAGAGTCAGAAAGGCGGGACTGTCTGCAGGGCTGTGATAGGTCGGATAGGGAGGGAGAGGACCCGGGATCTCTGCTTACATACATCACAGAGTTCAGATATCTCCCCCCGCCACTCTACTCTGAGGTACAGCACACACACACTCACACACACACACACACACACACACACACACACACACACACACACACACACACACACACAGATAAGAGGAACCAAATACATTTTATATCAGCGGCCGCTAAAAGGACGTTCTTCATGGGAGACCTGTCTGAGCAGGCTGCACTAAAACATGAAGACAAAGAAAAGACACAACAGGAATACAACATATATTTTATTTTATTTTATTACTTTATTGCAGGCAAGTTGTCATATTTCATCACAACTTTTGTTCATCCTGGCACATTTTTATATATAATGTTTTAAACATACAAGAATACATACAACATGAAATAAAATAAAGATAGATAAAAATCCAAAGAAAAGGTAAGAAGAGAAAAAAGATAATTAAAATAAGATTTAGAAAAGAAAAAATAATACTAATAATAATAAAAAAAAGAATTTAAATTAAAATGAAACCGTAAATAGAATGGGGCAGGGGGGGGGGGTTGTTCCTTCACTGCTCTCTTAATTTAATATAATTTAATTTACATACCTGTTATTATTCCACTTTATCTGTTTCCTTCATTCACTCCAGTAACACATGAATTCATCTTCTCTGTTTCTTAGCCTATACATAATTCTTTCCATTTCTTTAATATCTTCCACTGTTAACTTCCATGCATTAATAGACGTGGGGGGGGGGTTATCATCCAGCCAGCTTCGTGTAATTTGCTTTGTGCGGAGGCGACAGTCCGACCTGCAGCTCCTTTTGTCCCCACAATCTGCTGATTTCCTGCTCCATCCCCTGTCCTTTCAAAATAAAAGCCAGAGCCCAAAAACAAAACATCCAGCCGATTAAAAGGCTTAACCCAGACCAAAATGTAAAGAAGGAGTAATATCTATCTGAACATCTGAACTGTCTCTGCCCCCCCCCCCCTCAGGTCGACCCCTTCCCTGACCCCTTGGAGGTGTGCGAGGCCGCTGACGTCAGGAGGCCTGACACGTGTCCGTCCCGCTGAGGAGAGCCGGAGAGCCCAGAGGGGCTCTGCCCGAACTCGACACCGTCACCCCCAGCGTCTCACCAGATTATATCGCACCATAAATACGGCCGGACCCTCCCTCCCTGGCTGGGGGGGGAGTCAGCTGAGAGAGTATTGGGTGACCGTTGACATATGGACCAGGGACTTTCGAGACATGCTGGGTCCTCCATATCCTCTGCTCCACACCAGGTTCTCCCTGACACCACTCTGACTCTGAGGAGGCCCGAAAAACAAAAATGGCTGCCGGTGGTCAGAAGACGCCTCCTCCTGCCTCACAGAGAATTTTGCACATACCGTTGTTACTGTTTTTCTATGGGTGGGTTTTATATTCTGCAGATTGCCGCAGGCCTATATGCTCCAGTAGATTCTGTCCACAGATGTTTTTTTTTTAATTCTGAAGGCACATGACGAAACGGGACAAAAAGCTGTTTCAGTAACAAGATAGTTCAGGTGGAAACTGTAAAAGAAAAGAACACTTTCTGATGATCTAAAGCAGAAACGTGTAGATAAACGACCACCGCGAGCACTTAAAGCAAAGCTCACATTACGTGTGTGTGTGTGTGTGTGTGTGTGTGTGTGTGTGTGTGTGTGTGTGTGTGTGTGTGTGTGTGTGTGTGTGTGTGTGTGTGTGTGTGTGTGTGTGTGTGTGTGTGTGTGAGTGTGAGTGTGAGTGAGTGACCAGGTAGAAACAAAGACAGGGTCTAGAGAATAAAAAGCACAACTCCGACCAACCTAAAAGAAATCGTACCACAAGTCGCCTGTCGGTTCCTGCTCTGAACTGAAGCTTCTCTCGCTGTAGATTGTTTTTCTAAACTCGGATGTTAAGAAGCTTTTTGTGCTTTCAAAAACAAGAAAATGTTAAAAAGATCAAATGTTTACAGATCAATATATTGAATTGAGAATGTTGTTCAAACATGACTTCTTCCACCTGAATCTTCAAAGTACCAAGTGCAATATATTTTTGTATTTGTGATTTTTTTGCACTAGTTTTTCATACACTCTGTCGCTGTTTATTCCATTTCTGTGCATTATATATTATTATTGTCATGATCTTACTGCTGTCATGATCAACTTTTGATAAAATAAAAAGATTTATTTTATAAAGTACTTGAACCCTTACTGTCCTTTTTATATATATACCTTAAGAACTTTGAATTTGCGCCTGAAATTGCGCTTCTTTCCTGAGAGTCCTGACTCAGTCACTTGAACAGTTACTGTGCTTTTATATACAAGCAGTGATAAGTCAGTAATCACAAACTCATGTTCAGTAGATTTTTAAATTTGCGCCTGAAATTGCGCTTCTTCTTGGGAGACATAACTCAATAATACATTAACACATAAACAAGATAAGGATAGTTTGTGATTCAGCGTGATTTACACTTTCAGGTCATATCTTAATCTTTGATGAACATTGCACATAAATGTACATAAAGCAGATTACCAATCATAGAAAAAAACTGTGCTTTTTTTCACTGCAGAACTTTATAGAGAATATTCTTCCAAAAAAACTCCCAGAAACTTTAACAGTAATTAGATTTGTTGTGAACAGTAATCACAAACACATGTTCAATCGACAGCGTAAGAACTTTGATTTTGCGCCTGAAATTGCGCTTCTTCTTAAAGTCATAACTCAATCACACTTTAACTCACAAGTTAAGGAGAGTTGAGAACAGTGTTTGTTCATTAGTACACTTCCAAGAGAAACCTCCCAAGTTGTAGCCCCATGAGCGTAACTCTCAAATCCTAACGATCTACTTCCTGTCTGTTGCGTCAGACTTTTAAAAATTCCTGGACGACCCTCCTGTGTTACTTTCTGCAGCAGCTGCTACTCCATGCTCCACATGCAGCCCGTTTGCTCCACTGATTTCTGCGCTCCAGTCTGCTGCAGTTACCACAAACCAGATGTAGGACACTCTCACGTGAGCTGCTGACCTAAATCCCCACCACAGACAGACAAAACGCATGCAGGGGGAAAATAGATCTGAGCTTTTTCAGTAATGCTATTTACAGTCGAGCGATTTCATAACCTGTTGTAAACAAACGTAAATAGAAACGTCAGCTGAAGTTTTTCCCCTTTTTCAGTTGAATTCATTCCGACTTCCCACAGAGGAACACACGCTGACGTCTGCACATCACAGGATACAGAAACACAGCAGACATGCATGTTGTTTTTTCTGTTTGTAGGTTAAACAGGGATTTGCTGCAGGCTATCGGAGACGAGTCAAGGGAAAATTTGGGGAAGACATCAGATTAAAATAAGGTTTTAGTCGAGGAGATTTTCCCAGTTTAAGTCGCTGACACTTGGACTTGAATAAAAGTAATTTTGTCTGCTCATTTGCTGAGTTCATATCTATAAGAACATGTTTCCGCTGAAAGGGAAACAGGACAATGTGCGGCTTTAACAAAAAACAACTAATTATGGCTTCTTCACTGATGTGTAACTCATGATGGTTTCATGGATTAACTAATGATTATCTAACTTTGACTTCATGTTATTGAATTACACTCGACACGAGAGCCGCGGAGGAATGTTAATCCGCTGTTACTTACAGTTCAGACGAGAACTTCTGTGTGTTCCAGTCAAACTGTATGAACTGTTATTGATAATAGAAACGTTTACATCTGATGACCAGACGTGGGACTGAAAATATTTGATCTTATATTAATCACTACTTGAGTAAGAGACATAACCTTTAAAGGTTTGGTGAGATGCAGTTTTCTCTTTAAAGACATTCTGGTGTCAGTGAGGCGTCCATTTTTAAATGATATTAAACAACATGCCTGAGGTCCAGTGGCCCTGAAACTGTAAGGTGGCCCTGAAGGTTCAAACATGAACATAAAAACATTTCATGAAATCAATCTTTATTTGAAAAGGCTCTTTTCCTAACAAATGTTATCTCGACACGCTCGAGAAGGTTAGAGACTTACAAATGTGTCAGATTTGATTAACCCAAAAACCTTTCATGAAGCGCAAAAATATTTCGGGAAACTCAAAAAGAAATTAGTGAAACGCAAAACATTTTTTGTAAGAAGCAATTTTTTTTTGTGTGAAACGCAAAACACATTTCATGAAACACAATACCATTCTGTGAAATGTAAAAAATTTTTTTAGGAAAACCAAAAACATTTGGGACACAAAAAAGTTCAGTGAAACGAAAGATGTAGGACTACACTTCTTGTTTGTGATTGGAGAAAACCCTCGCCAACGGTCGTACGTTGTGTCCTGTTTTGCGTGTTTGGCTGAAGTTCGCTGTGGAAGTAATTCAACGTAAACAGGAAATAACGTATGACTGTTGTTTAAGGAAGAATGTGCGACTTTTTGATCCAGTAGATGTCGCCCTTGAAACCAAAACAACTCGTAGCTTCACATTGTTGTGTTAGCATGCTAATGTTAGCGCTCTTTCGTTAGCTCGTAGCTTCACATTGTTGTGTTAGCATGCTAATGTTGGCGCTCTTTCGTTAGCTCGTAGCTTCACATTGTTGTGTTAGCATGCTAATGTTGGCGCTCTTTCGTTAGCTCGTAGCTTCACATTGTTGTGTTAGCATGCTAATGTTGGCGCTCTTTAGTTAGCTCGTAGCTTCACATTGTTGTGTTAGCATGCTAATGTTAGCGCTCTTTAGTCAGCTCGTAGCTTCACATTGTTGTGTTAGCATGCTAATGTTAGCGCTCTTTAGTCAGCTCGTAGCTTCACATTGTTGTGTTAGCATGCTAATGTTAGCGCTCTTTCGTTAGCTCGTAGCTTCACATTGTTGTGTTAGCATGCTAATGTTGGCGCTCTTTCGTTAGCTCGTAGCTTCACATTGTTGTGTTAGCATGCTAATGTTGGCGCTCTTTCGTTAGCTCGTAGCTTCACATTGTTGTGTTAGCATGCTAATGTTGGCGCTCTTTCGTTAGCTCGTAGCTTCACATTGTTGTGTTAGCATGCTAATGTTAGCGCTCTTTAGTCAGCTCGTAGCTTCACATTGTTGTGTTAGCATGCTAATGTTAGCGCTCTTTAGTCAGCTCGTAGCTTCACATTGTTGTGTTAGCATGCTAATGTTAGCGCTCTTTAGTTAGCTCGTAGCTTCACTTGTTGTGTTAGCATGCTAATGTTGGCGCTCTTTCGTTAGCTCGTAGCTTCACATTGTTGTGTTAGCATGCTAATGTTGGCGCTCTTTCGTTAGCTCGTAGCTTCACATTGTTGTGTTAGCATGCTAATGTTGGCAATCTTTAGTTAGCTCGTAGCTTCACATTGTTGTGTTAGCATGCTAATGTTAGCGCTCTTTAGTCAGCTCGTAGCTTCACATTGTTGTGTTAGCATGCTAATGTTAGCGCTCTTTAGTCAGCTCGTAGCTTCACATTGTTGTGTTAGCATGCTAATGTTAGCGCTCTTTAGTTAGCTCGTAGCTTCACTTGTTGTGTTAGCATGCTAATGTTGGCGCTCTTTCGTTAGCTCGTAGCTTCACATTGTTGTGTTAGCATGCTAATGTTGGCGCTCTTTAGTTAGCTCGTAGCTTCACTTGTTGTGTTAGCATGCTAATGTTAGCGCTCTTTAGTTAGCTCGTAGCTTCACTTGTTGTGTTAGCATGCTAATGTTAGCGCTCTTTAGTTAGCTCGTAGCTTCATATTGTTGTGTTAGCATGCTAATGTTAGCGCTCTTTAGTTAGCTCGTAGCTTCATATTGTTGTGTTAGCATGCTAATGTTAGCGCTCTTTAGTCAGCTCGTAGCTTCACTTGTTGTGTTAGCATGCTAATGTTAGCGCTCTTCAGTCAGCTCGTAGCTTCACTTGTTGTGTTAGCATGCTAATGTTAGCGCTCTTTAGTTAGCTCGTAGCTTCACTTGTTGTGTTAGCATGCTAATGTTAGCGCTCTTTAGTTAGCTCGTAGCTTCACTTGTTGTGTTAGCATGCTAATGTTAGCGCTCTTCAGTCAGCTCGTAGCTTCACATTGTTGTGTTAGCATGCTAATGTTAGCGCTCTTTAGTTAGCTCGTAGCTTCACTTGTTGTGTTAGCATGCTAATGTTAGCGCTCTTTAGTTAGCTCGTAGCTTCATATTGTTGTGTTAGCATGCTAATGTTAGCGCTCTTTAGTTAGCTCGTAGCTTCATATTGTTGTGTTAGCATGCTAATGTTAGCGCTCTTTAGTCAGCTCGTAGCTTCACTTGTTGTGTTAGCATGCTAATGTTAGCGCTCTTTAGTCAGCTCGTAGCTTCATATTGTTGTGTTAGCATGCTAATGTTAGCGCTCTTTAGTTAGCTCGTAGCTTCATATTGTTGTGTTAGCATGCTAATGTTAGCGCTCTTTAGTCAGCTCGTAGCTTCACTTGTTGTGTTAGCATGCTAATGTTAGCGCTCTTTAGTTAGCTCGTAGCTTCACTTGTTGTGTTAGCATGCTAATGTTAGCGCTCTTTAGTTAGCTCGTAGCTTCACATTGTTGTGTTAGCATGCTAATGTTAGCGCTCTTTAGTTAGCTCGTAGCTTCACATT